CTATGCGAGAGGGGAAGCTATGGCAGTCTAAGGCAAGCCCATAGCTATGCTGATCTGGACACTAACCTGTTTCCGTACAGCTCTTGCTCCTAGATACACTGACAGTCATTTTCATTTCCATCTTAACATCCCACGCCTTCTTCTCTCACCCCAAGGCAGTATCCTCGTTGAACAAGATGTCTCACCTTGACAGCAACAGTACTCCACCAGACACCTTGTCCGAGAAGCACACTCCAGGACCCGGCACATCTCCCATTTCCCTCAATCCTGAAGAAGCGGACCGACTACGATCCGAGGCCCTTTCGACTGATGTCTCCAAGCTACAAAATAGTTACTTCTTCAGTGCCAGGATCGTGGGCTCGTTCTCTGGAACTGGAATCGTCGTACTTGCGACGTATTTCCAGTTCCAAGCCTTAGCTGCTGCGATATCTTCCGTCAACGCAGACATCGGGCCAAGTGCCAACGTTGCCCTCGTCAGTACGGTATGGACCGTGTCGCAGCCTATTTCTCTCTTGCTGTTTGGTCGACTCAGCGATCGCTTTGGGCGCCGAAACTTTGCCTTGGGTTCCTGCGTGCTTGCGATCATTGGTGGGATCGTCGCGGCAACAGCGCAGTCTATCGAGACGTTGATCGGAGCCGAAGTTATCATGGGCATCGCATCTGGAGTGCCAGCAGCCTATCCACTTCTGGCTGGTGAGCTCGTGAGTAACAGATACAAATATGTTGGTACTGCTTTAGTCGTTGTGCCGAACGTGATTGCGACCGGCTTTGGGGCGTATATTGGTCTGCGATTGGTTCAGGTAGCTGATTGGCGATGGATCTTCTACATATACATTATGATGATGGGTGAGTCGGCACATCTCACGGCGCTTTGACATGCTAACGATCATCAGTTCCCGGCGCCATATTGTGGTTCTTCTTCTACCACCCGCCTTCCTATACCCAGCTTCACGGCAAGAAGTCCAGCAAACTCGCCGAGCTCAAGAAGGTCGACTGGACAGGGGTGATCCTTTTGGTAGCAGGTCTGGCTCTTTTCCTGCTTGGCATATCGTGGGGTGGCCCGGTACAGCCATGGTCATCACCAAGGATTCTCGGGCTTTTGCTCTCCGGCGCAGTAGCCATTATCGCGTTCATCCTCTACGAGGTCTTCCTACCGCCGGTGCAACCCATCGTTCCGATGCGCTTCTTCCGCGACATCCGTGGGTTCACGTGTCTGGAAGTCATTTCAGCGACCTACGGTGTCATCAATATCGCGCTTTTTGTCATGTGGCCACAACAAGTTGTCTATATCTTTGGTTCCACTGTTAGTTCCTGGGAAGAGACCGCATGGCTTTCAACAACAGCTGCATTCGGTCTTTGGGGCGGGATAGTCATCCTCGGTCCTCTTATGTCGTGGATTGGCCACATCAGATACCAAATCTTGGTGTCTTCGATCTGGATGACTGCTTTCCTTGGTGCAATGGCCAGCATCACGGTGGAAAACAAAGCTCGTGCGATTGCCTTTTCGTTTCTGGCGGGTTGGACCATTGGGTGGGGTGAGGTCATCGCCGCGATTGTCGTACAGTATGTGGTTTCGGATCAAGACCTCGGTGTTGCGTTCTGTAAGTTCTTCGTTTGCAACCTCGTAAATGTACCATTGCTGACTGGTGATAGCTGTGATCTCAGCGTCTCGCACTATCTTCGGTTCCATCTTTACCGCCGCATTCATCGCAGTCTACACGAATAAAGTGCCGGGCTACCTTGCATCCATAGTACCTCAACGCGTTTTAGCGGATGGACTGCCGGAAAGCTCGTTAAGCGCGCTGATGACAGCTGCCGCGACCGCCAACCAAACAGCTCTTCTAGAAATCGATGGCATGACACCGGAGCTGCTTCGCACCACCAACATAGCTATCAGCGATGCTTACTCCAAATCGTATGCTTACGTATACTACTTCGCTGTCGCTATCGGGGTGCTTGCTATCGTCGCGTCACTGTGTATGCGCGATTTCGATGGCTATCTTACTGGTCATGTATCGAGGCAGTTGTACCGCAAGAGAGACACCAGCACTGACCCATTAGAAGCTACCACACAGGTAGCTGGTCAAGGCTCGGTCGACGATAGCGATGGTGCCACGAAGGCCTGATGTGGTCTCTAGATATGATGGTCTGGATTTGGAGAAGAGATTCGGGATGCGCAAGCTGAGAACGCCCGGTTTCATGCATTTGGACGCATTTGCGTGTCGCTCTTCACCTCGCGGACATCCCGCGATTGCGATTCGGCCAAGGAGTACACGATTGGTTTACGGAGAAACGTAGCGTGAAACAGCTGTAGCCACGGTGGAAGTAGTATCGATATTGACAAGTGCTCGTACAACGCGCAAGACATGATGCAAATGCGCTTGTGGGATCGCGAGGTTTGGCACTCATTTCCCTCTAAGGGGTGCGCCAAGCCGCTAACTGTTCTGGGCTTAGATGTGTCATGCCATCAATTGATGACGTGATCGAAATTGCACGCATCGCGCTCCTCCGCACCACCACCATCTTCGCACACATGGAACTCGGTGAAACGTGCATGCATTCGAATGTTCATTACTAAGGGTATATTGATTCTTATCCAACGGGTTGTTGTATCCTGCGTGTCCAGTCGTCGATCCGCCGCCGTTTCTTTCCTTCCGCGCAGTCGCTGAAGCTCCAGTACGGTTCCGTGTGCCAGGACTTACTTTTCGATGCCGGCTCCAGCACAGAGTCCTGCATTTGTGGTATCTCTCTGCGGGGCTCGACGCCGGCATCCGGATTTGCTTCCTCTCCTGAGCTCGAGACGTCGTCATCTCCCTCTGCTGCACGTTTCCACTTCTCTGCCATGTGCAGTAGGTACCCCAAAGGCCGCAGGTTGGGTTTGGAGCTCGCGTCAATGGCATTAATCCATTCCTGGACGGCGTCTCCGTCAAGACATTGCTTCTTGACTGCTGCGTATTCCTCAAGATCGTATGGGAAGTTTGGTTCCCTGTCATCGTCCGAGCCTATGATGGAGACTGCTGCTTCTGCTGCAGCTACCAACTGAGCTTCATGGGCCGCTTCTGCACGTGTCACCGCTTCAGCAAGCTTGCTTCCGGCGCGCACATAGTCGCGGCTGAACTCTTCCTCTATGAGGCGGTCGGGTGCATCCGGTCGGTCGGCAGCAGCAGCAACGCGTGCCGCGAGAAGTCCTCGTCGGAAAGTGTTACGATGTTCGTCGTGTTGTCTTTGAGCCTCGTGCTTCTCTCTCCGAGCTTTGGCTTCTCTCACGATAGCAATGGCCTGACCAACGCTCAACTCTTCCAAGTTTGCTGCTTTCGTCGTGGCTTCATTTTCGCCAGGTAGAGGCTTAGAATCTTTCTTTTCATCGAAGCGTGACACGATGGGAGGCTTACTCGCCACCCTCATCCCTTCAACCCTCTGCGCGACGGGAGGAACACTCACCGCCTTATCATCCTCAAACAGCCCGCACCGGACAAAGATATCCTGCAAGTTCTTCTCTACTACCACTGCAACACCTTCCCATGCTTTACGGGCAAGCTCAATGTCGCGCGATAGAGTTTTCTTTTTCTGCTGAATCTTTTCCATCTTCTGATTGATTTCATGCGCTTCTCGGTGCAAGCGCTCAGCCGTGGGACTTTCATGCGGAGTGGGCGTTCGGCCTCCACTGAGCTTCGGCAATCCTTGCAAACGATGCTCGACGGACTTTCTCGATAGCCTGCTCATTCTCAATTCCTGGTCCAGTTTCGGTATGGATATGTCTTTTTCGCGCCGGTATTTGAGGCCGGTTGAGATCTGGTTATGGATCATCGTGGCCAACTTGTATGGAACCTTCATCACTATTACAGGCGGGCTGCTGTCCACCTGCTCATTCTTAGCTCTCTTCAAGATGAACATCTCGGCAGCTTCGGTGGCGCACAGCTGCTCGATGTCTACCATGCTCTCCATGATCGCACTTTCTGGGCCTTCCAGAGGTGAACCTCGGATAGAATTGTCATGCGTGTCTGTATCGTTGTTAACCATTGGAATGTTCAACTTCCGACGTCTTTCATACCTTTTTCCAACGACGAAGACAATTTTCTCCGGCTTTGATATATATCTGGAGGCGGTTCCCCGGTCGTTCTTCTTTTCTTTGTTCGCATGTTTTGTGTGACGCCTTTGCTGCCCTGCTTAGCTGCACATCTTTCGCTATTATCGCCATTATTGTCGTCGTCACATTCGAGCGCTCGTTTTCTGGTCTTTTCAGTCTTATCTGCTTCATACTAAGGGACTTCTTCGAAGTAATCTTTAATGTTAGCCATGATGGAGGGGCTACATCTAAGGCGAAGGGAAGACTAGGTGTTTGAGACTGTAGATGTAAGCGAGAACAATGCACTCCTTTGTACAGTTTTACATTGTAGTCAAAGCTTGTCTTCTATACATGAGTCCTAGGTCTTCAGTGTCTTGCTGCTTCGCTTCCGTAAGTCGCGAGTAAAAGCTGTATCAACACATAATGCCACGGATCGACATCAACAAAAGGACCCGAGCATTAGAACGGTTTTCTATGACGTTAGGCGACCAGGTACCTTTCGGCCCATTGCATTGCCGATGTGTTCGCCACCCTATTCACTCAGTCTGAATGGTGTTAAGTAAATAGCATATGTTGATTCGCTATGCAGCAAGTAGCAATATGATTGCAGCGACGTTGCACGCTCACAGAGCACGATCTGCTTCACTAAGCCAGAATATGTGCATCGCAATGTTCACGGACCATTACACGAAACTATAAATGTGAACACACTTGCGGTGTTACCCACGAAGAACCCCCCTGCATCCACAGCGGTTAGACCTGCAACTACACCCCAATTCAACCACGGAAGTCGTTTTCGGATCTTCACGGCTTTAGCATCTGAACCCGCATATTAACAACAGATATGGCAAGAACAAACGCAGGGGCTCGGCCTATTAGGGGCAGACGTGTTACCTGGTCACCTTATGCCAGACGTGCCCGTAGCGAAGCCGACATGGACAGACTGTTATGGCGAGCGATACCTCCTGGCTTCGATGGCCCAATCATTGACGAATTCCCCGGTGAGCGGATTGAGGCGGTTTATCTTGTTAAAGCTTCGAACACCAAGCACTTTCGGCTCCTCTCACAAGCGGAGATTGACCGGCTCAAACTAGGTGACTTGTTTTGAGCCATAGTACACGAAGCAACCACATCTCCTCGTGAAATTGGAGAAAAAGGAATGACACCCACCATCTTTGGCCAAGCGGTACCCAAAGATCGATTTTTTGTCCTCGTAAAGAAACACCGAAAGCACGGGGTGTTCATACCTGTGACATCCCGAGAGTTGCAGGGGCTAGAAGGTCTTGATGAGGCAGAACGATATGCTTACATCGGTTTTCGAAAGGAAGGGGAGGTCTTTGACCGCAATAAGCTTACTGAAAAAGACCCCCAGTACCTAGCTAAGTGGGATCCGCTTATGCTTGCCGAAGGGGACTTAGATCCCTTCTCGTTTGCGAACCTCTCTTACCCAACGTCATTGTATTGGTCCAGCAACCTCCTGCGTGCAGGCTGCCTGACGAACCTCAGCACACAGCGGGTGCTTGAGCTGTTCGAAGAGATGGACCAGGTCACTCCAGAACAAGATCTTTCATCTGAAATGGAAGAGCTGAAGGATCAAGAAAATGCGTTTATATTCCAACTTCATGAGTCCACTGCTAGCGGCGAAGAAGATCCAGACCGGCCAAAAGGTACTGCAAATGAGCAAATCGCCGCGTACAGCGCACGACATCGTGACGTCGAATCTGTTTTGAAACCTCTGAAAGAAGTCGAAGATAAGATATTCCAGGCCGTGGACGATAGCACCATCAACGCCGCCAAGGCAGAGAACAACGTGCGAAGAAAACGGTTCGAGTACCACAACGCGCTTCAAGCTGGTGACATAGGTACACTGGCACTAGAGTTGTACCAAAAGGAGATTGAAGAAGCCAAGATCGATCGTGACGAGAAGCAGAAGATCAAGGATGATATGGTGGCATTAGCTGAGGAGATGGAGCGGAAGCCCGAATTGAGGCCTCGTATCCCGGCTGGCGCGGAAATCACGGAGGGGCGGATGACTATCATTAATGACGCTATGCGATCGCTTCAGGACCGTATGGATAGCATTTCTAAGCAGATGTAAGTTGACTGGGTCGACCTACACGTATGGATAGGCATTGCAGCATGTCTTTACAGCGCTTGATATAATATATTCCTCCGTTCTTCATTAACTCGCCCCCTCGATACAGTAACGCCGTGAAGTAAACATCACTCTAAGCTATGCATCATGGGTCAAGAAATGTATGATGTGATCTGGAAATGAACATGATATGGTATTGGGTATTATCGCACCAAACAACTAACTCCAAAGCGCCTCGCTTCTATGCCATCGCAAGTACTCATACACGCGTCAAGTTCGCTCCCTCAAAAGCATCGTACCAGCCCTTCATTTCCCACCGCCTCGTCAACAGCCATTGCTTCGTCTTGGCATTCTCATAAATATACGGTTGCTTCCACCACTTCTCGTGAACGCTGACCAGCCCCTTGGCGATATCCACGTCGTTCGGACAACGGATGTTCCAAGTGTATGCGATCTCCCGCCACGGCATCGGCCCGTCCCAACGATGTGCGTAGTTCATGAGGTTTTGTTCGGGGTATCGGGGGTCGAAGGAGTTGGGTGTGTTGAGGAGTTCTTTGTAGTAGTTGAACGCGTCGAGCGAGGGTGCGAGGATGAAGAAGCCGGCGTTCATCTTGCCGGCCTTCTTCAGGCCGGTGCCGTGACCGGGTGGGAAGGAATGGGTCGAGTCCCAGACTTCGGAGTTGGATGCGAGGAGGTAGGTGGAGGGTAGGTTCGTTTCGTTCGTGGGCTTGGTGGCAAGAAGCTGAGCGCCTGGGTCGTCGAAAACGCCGTCGAGGTTCTTGAGCAGCATCGAGTCGCCGTCCATCACCAGGATGCGGTCGTACTGTGTCATTTCCCAGACGCGTAGCTTCGTCATAACGTCGTCCCATCGGTGCAGCTCGGCGTGGACCCAGCTGTCGTTTTCGGTGTGCAGGAATTCGACAGCGTGGACGATGGCACCATCCTTCGCTAGGCGGTCGCGCCGGGCCTGAGAGACGCTGGGTGTAACCATGACGACGACATCGTGCTTCGTGCGAGTCTCCTCTTTGTGTACGAGCTGCCAGACGAGAATGCGGATAGCTTGGAAGTACTTGTCCTCCTCCAGATCATCGCCCGCATCAACGGTTCCGGAGAGAAACGTGACGTATGCTAGTCTCTCCTCTCTGTCGAGAGTAATGTTGGCGTTGACGTAAGGCGGTGGTTGCGGTATTGGCTCCTTCTTTTCTTCTGATTTGGCGGCGCTGTCGCTTTTGTGACTTTTGAACTCCGGAATAGAAATGTGATCGAACGCGCGCGTTTCCACGGCGAGAAAAACAAATGTAGATACGATCACAAACGTCCCCAGCGCAATCCGGATCCATCGAGGGCTGGCAAAGATATTCCAAGAGCCGGAAGGCTTCATCCAGTTGGGCTTCGACCCAGACATGGACGCCATGGTGCAGGAGCAGAAGAACGACTGGACTCAAGCTTACCGGCAGGCAGCGAAGCCGCCGTATTTCAACCTCATCCCTTTCCACGCCGGTCCCGTAAGCCCAGCCGCATCCGGTTGGACAGCATATTATGCGAGGGGGCAAACCCGTCGAAAGGTAGGCAGCCAACCATGAGTCGCGGACACCCCGGCATATCTTGCGCTGTCCAGACCCTTGCGAACGCTGACAGGCTTGACAAGCAAAGCTTGGCGAGAATGCGATAGTTTGATTAGTTGCTAAGCATGCAGCGGAGATGATCGCCCCGCCCCCTTGTCGGCGCAGTAAGACCAGCTCAGCCCTGTACGTCTGGGGACTTGCCCGTCGAGTATCGTGAACATAACGGGCCGAACGCTGACCTAACCAAGACTGCACAAGCAGAGTAGCCTCGGTGGAATGCGCAAATATTTCCTCCTTGGATGCGCCCTTGGAGGCCTTGGATGACCGTCCGAAAATGAAGAAATTGATGCGAGGCTCGTATCGCGTTTGATCTTTCGCTCGTTTGCCCAGAATAGCCGGGCTAGCAGCAGTCGCGCCACGCCTACTTAGGTACAATCCGCTATTTTGGGGCGCCTAACGACGCCAAATTAAAAACGCAAAGCTTACGGTCTGGAAACTTACAGAAAGAAATGCTGTCGCAGTAACAGAAAACTTCTCATGCGCAATCCGATCGTTGTTCGGAATGTTTCGATCAAACCTTGGAACTATCCGGCACCGACGGAACCATAGTACAGGTACACGAGCAGACTAATCTGGTAGGAGCACAGGCATGTGCATGCCTAGAAGGAGCAAGGTCTAATAAGATTGTACGCATTTCTTTCCTGAAAAAGTCTGACGGGATCGTCGGTGTACTGTAGGGCCGTTGCAGCCAGAGTACCCAAGACGGTGATTTCGGCCAGATTTCGCATGTGTCGCGCCGTGCTGCGGTACTGAACCTGGTCAATCTTCTAATCCGCTGGTAAGATTGCTGAATAATCGGTGGAATACCGTTGGGGGTTCTAGTGTAGGATATACTAGGCGCACCGTGACGGCAGCGCACCGCTTCAACGCCATATCACGGCGGGTGTCTGGTTGTACAGATATCTGGGTATCGTTTCATCTCCTGCCATGCCTCACAAGAACGGTGTATGATCTCGCCTTGACCGCTGATGGACGGCGCAGCCACGTCGGTTACGCAAGCTACACGTTGTAGAGGTACGCCTGACCGGCGTTTACGCGGTATGCAGAAGCTTTCCAAGCCCTTGGGAAGAGTGCGTCTATGATGCACACGTCGAGCAATCCCTCGATTTGAACGGCTTCCGCATATCGCTACTTCTTGATGGTCTTGAGCTCTTCAATGGATGTCATTCGACGGCTGTCGCGGGTACCTGTACCGGGTCTCTCTCAGCGAGGTAAGACTTTGCGTAGGATGCAACGCGGCAGAAGCAAACATTGTACCTCAATGGAGCTCAACCGCCGTGTTCGTCGCATCTAGATTGAGGGGCGGAATTCCCTGGCGTTCTTGGACACCCCGAAGTCAAACATCAAACGTGTTTCTTCCCCCATTGTGAGCCCCTCCGTTGAGGTCGAGGCGTGGTAGCAGCCCCATCGCTCATCACAGCGGCATCAGATCGTTCGCCTTACACTTACATTTGACTGCAGCCAATGAGATACAGTCAGATGCGTGTGACGTGGTATATCGCCGGGTCCGCGGAGCTGTATCATGTAGTCAATACAAAGCTGCAGGCCTAGGAAGATAAGGAGGCGAAGCAACCCCAAATCCTTCCGGAAGAAGTGCAGGATGCAGACTAGGTACTCAAACACAGCACGTGTTTCAGCTTGATCGCAACATGCAACCCAACTCGTCAGCCTGGCGTCGAGCGCGATTTTACCGTCATTCGTGGAATCGTATGAGATCAGTGGAGGCTGTGTACCTGTCGTCGTCGGCAAGGCGCCTGCGTGCCAAGACCTCGCCTAGCTTCCCGCCTTCCTTCGAATCTGGCTGGACTCAAGACTTGGGCACAACAGCCTTAGCGGCCTCAGCAAAACGCGCCCTGAGTGATGCCCACGGCCAGTCGCTCCGCCATGAGCTTCGCAATCTCAGCTGCGTCACCGAGTTGCTGGAAAGCACCCAGTCCAACGGTTTGCGTCGACGTCGCACCTTCTCCTCGAGCCTACCTCGGCAGTTAAGGGTCTCGCGTATCGACAGACACAAGCACGACCAACAGATTGTTTATTCATCCCTCGCCCCACGATATCACGTGCAAGGACGCCAAATGCAGTCCTACCAAATTTCTAAAAGAAAAAGAGTCTACAATCACTTCGCAGGACTTCGAGCCACTTAAAGCTAAAGAGATGAAGCGGATAGATGGCGACATAGGTCTATCGCTTTCCGATAATCCACGTCCTTCACTTCGTTCAATCTAGAACCTATTGTCATCAAAGATGGACACTCACAATCTATTCAAGTATCAGGGAAAATCGCTAGACGCCAGTCGACGAGACATTCGGTTACTACATCTCCACCCGTCTAGCACTGACCGCATAACAGCATCACTGGGTGTGAAGGATCTCGCAAGTGCGGCTGGAACTTTCGCATGCGTCTCTTATGTATGGGGTGATCCCAACGAGACGGTACCAATCGAAGTAGACGACCAGGAAGTACAGATTACGACGAACCTTTTCGACTTCCTCTGTCACATCAGAGACCCAAAGGAGACTCTCACACTCTGGGCGGATGCCATATGCATAAACCAAGCAGACCTGAACGAGAAATCGCATCAGGTAGTCATGATGGGAGACATCTACTCCGGATGCTCCGTGGTGCACATCTGGCTGGGTACAATACCAGATACTCTGCCATTAGGAACATCCCCTTTCGCCTGGATTGAGCATATGGCAGAGGGAAAGCATTGGCATACTCTCCCCGGCATTCTCGATGAGCAAGATGGAAAGCCCAGCGAAGAATTCAACAATCATCGACTCGCCTTCGATCTGATGACAAGCAACCCATGGTGGCAGCGAGCTTGGACCGTCCAAGAAGTCATTCTACCCAAATCCACCATCCTCTGGTACGGGACCTACCATACGACCTGGAACAGCTTCGCACAACTGATCCGAAACCAAGACACGCGCGTCAAAAACTGCTGCCTGCCCGATACCCCAGAAACGAAGAAATATTGGCGCAAGATCGATGTCATTGATGATTTCATGTGTGAGTATGAGACAATCTACTGGTTCCGAGAGTATTATCATGGCAGCATTACGACTATACCTCTTCATACATCCACTATCGAGGGAGTCATGCCATTTAAAGACACTCTGCTTTCCTTCTCGAAGCGACAGTGTCATGACCCCCGCGACAAAGTCTTTTCGATCTTGGCGCTAGCGCCACCGCGGATGTTCGAGAACTACAAACCGGATTACACGGGACCCTTAGCGGAGACCTGGACGGACGTATACCGACTAATGATAGACCACACTGCGGACGTTTCGTCGACTCTCCAAGGCAACGGGTTTGGGCCAAATAACGACGGTAGACCATCTTGGGTTCGCGATCTTGCCAATATACCCACCGACGCGATTCTTTTTGAGCGCCATAGGGTAGATCTTTCCGAAATGTACCTCTGCAGTGGCGAATCAGCGGGCACATTTATCTCAACCGACCTCTGGGAGCTGCATGTCAAAGCGCGAAGAGCCGATATCATCCGTCATGTGGGCGCAACTAATACTCATGAATCTGGTCCGAGGGCGATGATAGCCAATATGAGACAGTGGTACAGATTGGTTATGGACGCACTATCCTGCACCGACGAAGCGATTATCCGGAAGCCTTTTCAGCGCGCAATATGCGCGACGATGCACACCGTGGAGGATGGGTCCTCATGGCGCCGCAGTACAGATGAAGATCTGCCCAGTCTTGAAGACTGGCAAGAGTTTCTGGATTTGGAGCCTGAAAGTTTCCTGTTTCATTTGACGTATCTCTCGGCTGCAGAAGATCGCTGCTTTTATGTCACGGAAAAGGGGAATATGGGGTTGGCTTATCCGGGTGTGAAGCCTGGGGATGAGGTTTGCGCGCTGATGGGGATGCGAGTGCCCGTCGTACTGCGGAAGGCAGAGGGAGAGCGTAACAACGCGAACGCTTATCATTTCATGGGAGACTGCTTTCTACTCGACCAAATGGATGGGGAGATTATGCGGAATGAGGAGGAGACGAAGTCAGTTGTTTTGATCTAACATCGCCACGATCGATAATCCGAGAGAACGCACAAGATCTAACAAGGTGAACTACTGAGCCCAGACGGACTGCGTCCCACATCACATGCACTATGGAATTCGCTACGAGACGTTGAACACCTGACTACCAGAGACATGTGTCCAGCCCACTTGCTGACCAATCTTAGAATCGTAGTTATTGAACGTCGCATTCCTGTAATCCTGTTTCGCATGTCAGCGTTGGCCCAATGTTCGCATTGGCATGAAGCTACTCACTTCTGACTGTAAGGTCTCAGTAACAGCTCGGTTGAGTTCCTTGTCCTGCAATGCTGCAATGTCTTTCAAAGCACGAAGGCAGTCTCTAGAGCTGATCTCCGACACCTCCGTTCTGCACAGCCTGCGCTGTTCTTCGCGTGCCGCGGGGAATAACTGTACGAGATCGCTGACGAGATCCGTGATGTCTTCGATCAATCTCTTGAAGTGCTTCTCTTCGTACAGTGCCCATTGTACTTTCTGCCGTAATGGTGTACTGTTCTGGCGTTTGATCGATAGCGAGCGCATTCTTTCGTGTAGTAATTGGCCTACAGGCTCCATATCTGTGGCTGAGTCGAGAGTCGCAAGATTCCACTCAACTTCTCCTGCGCGGTTCTTGTACTTGGTGGAAATCCCCTCAGCGTTTGCGAACAGATCCAGTATCTGTGACAATACTCTTTCCGCCGCAGCCACATCTTCCGGCGGTCCTGTTGCTAGCCTGACGTTGTGGGCGTTGCTGAAGTCGCTGTTCAAACCGACTGATTCGCCCCAGCGCGAAAGTCGCAGTCTCGCGTTGTCCAGCTTGAGCAGACTAGTTTGGAAATTGGTACCGAAAGCGCGGCCAAGTCGGATGTATTCGAAGCAGTCTATGGCGTTGTTGAATGTGCCTGCAAGAGCGACAATGCCAAGAGCAAGACCGGCTGGTTCCATACTTAGAGGCAGCAAGACGATGCTGGTGGTAAGATGAGAACAAAAGATGTAGGAAAGAAGAATCGTTCCAACTGAAGAACTTGGGCAGGCTCGGGTTTACCTTGCATACTTCAAGGCGAGGCGTTTAACCGCTGCCATTGGCCTGTATCCGCATGAACCTCGAATCGCCTAGACGTCTGCCTCGCAGAGCACCTGCCAAATTGCCTTAGCTCTGCCACGCGCACAATGCGTTCTCAGCCTGACACCCTCTCCCTCCACCTCGTAGCACTGCCTTGCTCTTTCTTTTGCGCTCCACCATCTTTCGACCTTGCTGTGCAGGGAAATGGATACACATGCGACTGCGCAGCCTACCAACTTCAACAACGAGGGTGTGAAAATCGGCATCCAAGCAGGGCAGTACCATGTCCATGGGGATAGTCACGTGAAGTTCGCGACACCAGTAAACCTGACAGCGGTATCACGATCGCTGATAGTTTCTCAGTCAAACGCAAGACCCAAAGGGCGTGAAGTTACCGTACGCCGCGGACGCGCTATTCAACGCGTACACGAAGCAGCATGAGCCAACCTGCCTTCCGGATACGCGCATTGCTCTTTTGGACGAGATATGCTATTGGATCAACGGACAAGACAAGCGAGGTGTCTACTGGCTAAATGGTCTGGCCGGTACAGGAAAGTCGACGATTGCCCGGACCGTAGCTCGTAGATACTATGAGCAAAAACGCCTAGCGGCTAGCTTCTTCTTCGACAAAGGTGGAAGTGACGTCAGTCATGCAAGGAAGTTCGCAACAACCGTTGCAATTCAACTTGCGTGCAACGTTCCAGGGATGCGCCAGCTTATAGATAGAGTGGCTGCAAAGCGCTCCGACATCTCGCACCTGTCATTGCGCGACCAGTGGCAGCTCCTCGTCCTCGGCCCATTGTCTGAGATGGAACATTCGGATGCCGGCCCTCCCCTCGTTCTTGTTATCGACGCACTGGACGAATGCGAAAATGAGGCAAATGTCCGAACAGTTATAGAGCTCTTGGCTAGAGTGCAAGCACTGGGAAGAGTCAAACCGCGTATATTTCTGACGAGCAGGCCTGAAGTAGCAATTCGCAACGGCTTTGACAACGCGGCAGAGACCTCACACCACCGCTACGTGTTACACCACATAGCGCGTTCAACCGTCGATGCTGACATAGAACTTTTCCTGAAATACAACCTCGCAATCTGCGTTCAAGAACAAGGTTTACCTGTCGGTTGGCCCGGGTCAGCAAAGGTCGCGGATATGGTACAGAAAGCTAGTGGCCTGTTCATATGGGCTGCAACGGCTCATCGATTCATCCAGCAAGGAAGGCGTTTCGCGGCGCGAAGATTAGAATTGATCTTGAAAAGCGACAACGAGAAGCAAGCCGAGCCTGAAAAGCATCTCAACAATATTTACATCGCTGTTCTGCGACACTCGATCCGCCCAGAGTATGCAGATGAGGAGAAGGAAGAGCATTGCAGAATGTTAAGATATATTCTTGGCAGTCTGGTCGTGCTGAAGTACCCTTTGACCGCGCAGTCTCTAGCGATGTTATTAGACATTGCCGAAGAGCTCATCAGGTCGGTCATCGAGGACCTGCATGCTATCCTTGACGTACCAGCTGATCGATCACGTCCACTTCGCCTTCATCATCCTTCGTTGCGCGACTTCCTGCTCGACCCACGGCGATGCACCGATCCAGATTTCTGGGTGGATGGAGCACACATCCATGGTCTGTTAGCATCGCGGTGTCTTGCTCTCTTGATACACTCGTTCCAGAATGATATATGGAGAGCTAAAGAGCTAAGAGCGGAAGTGATCGACGATGAGGCAAAAGACATCCCTTGCTCTCCGTACTTGAAGTATGCCTGTATCAACTGGGGTGATCACCTTGTACACAGCAATAATCAGCTTGCTGATGACGGACAAGTTCACACTTTTATTAGGGAGTATTTTGTTCAATGGAAGATTTACGTTGACCCTTGGGACCCTGATTGGGCATGCGATGATATCCCCGTCACTCTTATAGAGAAAGTCTCTGTAAGTCATCTGCGTAATGTCTTGACTCATTTGCTAAAGGCTTACAGCAAGACGACGCTCCTCGCCTTTTTGCCCTTCTTCGGATGCTGTCGGTATTTTATTAATAATGATGACTGCAACTCCCTGGCACACGGCCTGGAACCGGACATCTCAGGGCGACCTCGAAATGAGGAGAGGGCAAGGCCGAACTAATTTCAGATTCTAACATTTTGATATCCAGACTAGCTGAGAAGATATATGCCCAACCACCGGTGGATGGCAGTAGGGTATCGTAGACCAAAAACAAACAGACAGCAAAAACAAGCTCGCGATACCGCAAGAACGCAAAGAGGTAACAAAGACCAGACCAGACTATTGCCCAAAGTGATAAAGATATGCCTCCGACTCCGCCATCCTAGTCCCACCACATTATGCATATAAACCGTCGTTCGTAATCCACCTATCTCCTCGCATCACTCTCCCTCCGATTACTAGGCGCAATACTGCTCCCCCTCCTCATGCGATCACTAGGCGCAATACTGCTCGCCGCAATACTAACAACATCGCTCATGGAATCCTGATCGCGCTGGTAACTATACTGCATGCCCGAGTCGGGGCCTTTGAAGCCGTTGTCCCAAGCCGAGATGCGCGAAAGAAGCCTACACACCCAAATTAAAACGATTCTTTTTGCACAACAGCGAGATACGCAATGTGCGATGTGGATGTAGATGTATGTGTGCCCTTACCGATCGTCTGGCGGACCGTAGTATTCTTCTGGGATGAGCTCGTAGTCGCCTTCGACGGGGAGGTAGAAGGCGGATACGGCGATGGCGACGGAGGTGAGGAAGAGGATGGTCCAGCTGGCGGTGCAGAGGGTCCACGAGAGGTCGAGGTGCCAGCCGGACCAGAAGCGGTCGTCGTGGTCGAAGAGGAAGGCCTGGGCGTGTGACTGTTAGCATGCTTTGCTTCTGCGATGAGGATGGGACCCTGCAGGAAGCAGGGAAAACGCGGGGAAAGACACGTACCACTATGGCCATGCCGGCGCACTGGACGATGGCGCTGAAGGAGAGGACGCCAACGGCGACCTGCCAGCCTGCGGCCCGGCGCTGGACGCCGCCTGAGATGATGACGATGAAGGAGACGATGGCGCAGAGCTCGACGACGACGCCGAAGGAGGTCAGGAAACCGACTGTCCGCCACATGTTGCAGAAGGACGGATCCTTTGTGCAGTCGCTCATCTTGGGGAAGGGGACACAGGTGCCCGTGACGGCGGAGCAGCGACTGTGGAGACCGTACGAGTATTCGCGCTTGCCGTCGGGGCTGTAGCTGACCCATCGCGGCATCGAGATACTGGCGATGGTCATAATGGTGCCTGCGCAGTCAGTCAGTCTCATTTTCCTTTGTAGCGGCATTATTATCGTCTCTTACAGGCCAGTGTGAGGATGAGCCCCACGCCATATACAATTCTTCGCGTCATGGTGGATGTGTAATTACTGTCTCAGCGGGTGGTGAGAAGTTTCGCCTCGAATCTCGTGTCGAATCGAGACGGTGGCGCAAAGGGAGGAGTTGCGGGGTTTATGATGCGGCGGGATGCGCGATTAGGTGTGAGGCGTGCAGTTGCAGTGTGCGTGCAGGACGGAGAGGCTCTAACTCTAGGCGGCGGTTGAGTACAAAGGGTGGGTTGGCAGGCGCGACCGAGCGAATAGATAAACAGTCGCCAGGTGACTGAGGGCAGGCGCAGGTGCGGGGAGGACGGATTCAGCCGGGGCTACACGGGGTCAGAGCGACACCATGATATGGGTGCGAGTTGGCTGATGGGTGGGTGTGAAAAACGCTGCTCTCCCGTCTGGAATCGCGCTAGGAGGGGGAGGATCGTGGTATGGCGAGGCGTGTGCTCCATGACGACAGGGGCGCTTGGACGCCTTTCCCCACGCGCCCCTAGCTTCACTTCACCGCTAGGACTTTCTCTCGACACCACCTTCTGATAGCGCATAGCGCGTTGTGGGTATAGCCAGTGTCACGGTGTTCACAGTCTTATTTCACGTATATACGTTATACGACATGTCCCCTTCATCAAGCGAGCGCGAAGGATTCATCGGTTTGGATGGCGCAAACAATGCATCGCATTTCGGAAAAGCGGTGTCAAATCCCATGTTGAGCTTTGCGCCATGCTCCGATCGCCGATCATGTCGTGATGGACATGGCATAATCCTAGGCTCTGCTACTTCCTTGAAACTTAAACTTTTGTCCAGGCTTGTGAACTTCCCAGTATCCTCCGACTCCGAATCTTTGCGTGTCACAGGTACGAGGCATTTTTGGATGGGATGATGGATTGGCAGTTGCATACACTGATAAGGATCTGGTCACGCACACCAGCCACACCACCGATCAGCGTCAGCCCACCGGTATGCGAACTGTAGCGAACACGTGGGGCCGATGCGATGTTAGAATGGTAAACCGCGGTACCAGCTGGACGCGAGTAGAGCAATGGTCATTTGAAATTTGCCTCACCGCTTTAAGCCTCACGATTGATGTCGCTATGAAGCTATTGTTGCCAGGTTAGGGAGGCCTCGGTGATAAGAGGCGCTGAGCTAGGTAGTCGGCAAGGACCTAGTGGATGCACTCCGCACTGCAGCATCATGCAGCTACCATATTGGCCTGCATCTGTCATTGGACGATTAGTGCTGCAACGGCGCATGCCTCGCACGGAGGAGAGAGCGAATTGATAACGACGCACGTCGTTGAAGGCTATTGGACCAACTGCCCGTCTAAGGTTGGCATGTCCAGCCTGCAAGCTTACAATGGAGCTTTGAAAGTATACATATAGTACAGAGGACATATTCCTCGAATGGGTAGTGGTCTAGAAGACAACGTTCTCGGGGTTGCGCTCAGGCTGTGTCCTCGGCTTCTGCAGCATCTCGTAGCAGAGTATCGACGCCGCAACGCTGACATTCAAACTGTCGACTCCGACCTCGTTGGCCTCGCGGCCATGGGGGATTCCGACCTTGTATCTCGCCAGGTTGACCAGACTGGTCTTCAATCCCGTGCCCTCAGCACCCATCATGAGGATTGTGGGGTGCTCGGCAACTGGGCTGTGGTCGGTGGGAAGACGTTTCCTACCCTGCGAAATAGTGTAAACTACTTTGTTGGATCCAGGCTCGGGTGCGTCTTCGGCTGAAGAGAGACTTGGGGGCGCAGGCGGAATGGCGTCGCTCGCGTAGATGCACCACCCTGCACCCGCGCTCTTTTTTAGGAAGTCGGTTGGGTCTCCGACCTTGAAAAGCGGAATGGCTTCAGCGGCACCGGCCGAGGCCTTGACCGCGATGTGGCTCCAGTTTGCGGTATGGTGGGTCGGCGTGATGATGGCGTCCGCACCCAGGACATAGGCTGAGCGTGCAATAGCCCCAAGATTGCCTTCGTCGACCTGTCGTTGTTAGCTATCGTCTTGTAGACGGTATAGTTGTACTCACTACTCCATCCACGTAGAGGATCAGCGGGTGTCTCCACCCTCCAGACTTGTACGAGTATAGCTCTTGCTTGCCGTTGACGAGCACGTCTTCAGCGCTTTGGCTATCAAGTGTGACCCTGAAGCTCTCATCCTCGAGAGAAGCCGTCTTCAGCTCGGTAATGGGAGGGACGGGCAGAGGCGATGCCTCGAGAATCACCCCGTTGTGTGGTCGACCACTACTTGCTTTGTCCAGAGCGCGCATATACTCATCTCCAACTTCTTGTGTGATTGGGAATAGTTTGTGCGATCTGATACGAGACATGAGGCCTTCTCTACTTGCACCTCGTGAGTGCACATATAGGTTGTAGAATTTACGCCGGTCCGCCTTGATCGCAGCTACCACGCTCCCATACCCGTAAACGAACTCTGAAGCGGCAGTCGTGTAAGGGAGTGACTCTGGTCCCCGCACAGAAGGCCTTTGTGTCTCCGTGCCGGCATCAGACGACTCTCGGCCATGGCGTTCTCTTCTGGCGCCCTTCGAATCCGGTCTGTGAGAGAATCGCGGTTCGAAGGAACGGTCATTCTCATCCCGAGCTCGCGGACTGTATGATGCCGCGTCATCACCCCTTTGGGAGGATCGTGCTTCAGTGACACCTTCGTCTGCTACATCGCGAGTGCGGGGCGTATATGAAGGCGCCCTGTCGTCCCTCCAGTTTCTCTCTGGTCTCTGTTTCCGTGAGTCGTTGCGATCATTTGTCCTATGTTTCCGTAAGTCGCTGCGATCATTTGTCATACGCGGCCGGGGCCTATCGCCATCATCATTGCGTCGGAAAGTTCTTTGTGGGTGTATATCCCCGTTTCGTCTCCCTTCCGGATCAAGCCTGTGCGGAGATCGTTTTCTCTCGCCATACTGTCTCTCATATTGTTTTTGTGCCTCGCTAGGGCCGTGCGAGCCCTGCTCGACCCCCGTTCCGCGCGTATCTCTTCCAAAGCTGCTTTGTCGCTCTCGTTGAAACCCGCCTTGTCGTTCTCTTCCCAGATCACTTGATCGATCTCTTCCAAAGCCGCTCGGTCGCTCTTCCTTGAACCGACTCGGCGCATCGTCATCGCGGGGTAAACGTCCGAACCTGCTACTGCGAGGTGTCACAGTCGAGCGATCACCGAAATTTGGTTCTGGATCCTCACGAGGACGGCCAAATTTCTCGAACCGTGCCTCACGGCGAGTCTGACGGCGATTCTTCACCGGTTCATCTCCTTCATCGTTGCGGTCGTTTCGTGTCCGCGGTCGGAAGGGTCGATCTGGTCCACCCTGCCTGCCCCTCTCGATGGCGGCAGTAATGGATTTGTAGCGGAGGAAGGTGCGTGGGATGACCAATTGGCGTGAGCGTAGTAGCGTGCTACTAGATAGGCAAGAATAAACCATAACAAGGTCAATCGGACAGTAGTGGTGGAATTCGAGACTGGACTCGTAACCAGCGCAAAAGAGATGCGACAAAAAGTTCCTGATTGCCAAGCCAGGCGTTCGCACTAAGATGACAAGCGCGGGACACGAAGTCACGCGTCTGGCGTTTGGGCGCTATCATCGTTCACCGAGACGCGACGGAAACCACGGTACAGCAGCGCGACTGCATCCCCATTCCCCACTCATCCCGCATTTCAAAGCTGTACATTGTACCTGCCAAGGATATCGAACCTTGTCCTAATTCATTTCTGCACCCCTCGACCGAGTCGGGCCCATCAGATGCTGTCGACATAGATCCCTTGCCAAAAGAGCCGTCCCGCAATCACGCACCACACTAGACGAACGCATCGCAGACCGCAAGATGAGTAGCGACGAAGATGGCGCGGCGCTTATGGCGGCGTTCAAGAAGAAGCCGCCACCAGGGCCCAAGGCAAACGCGGCCCTGAGTACTCCCCGCCCCGCGCCTACAAGGGAAGCGTCTGATTCCCCCGCTACAATGTCAATGCCAGACGATATGGACGAAGAGTTCACTATGCATATCGATACCCCTCCTCGCAAGCGCCGGGCGGTGTGCGTTCGGATACCATCAGCGAAAGTGAAGAAGGCCGAGTACAAGTACTATGAGCCTCAAGATGAAGTGGAGAAGGTCCTGCGCGAGTTCGCTGGGAGGAAGGGCGAGATGATTTACGAGGTCAGGCTGTCAGGTGACCGCGTCAAACAGGTGAGTGATTATATCTTGGATGTCTCGAATTCCCTTACTTTTACCGGTAAAGGCAGCCCTCGCGCCGGGTGCAGTTGGTCCCGCTATATAAGCACCACCTCTGCTTGGAGTCCTTCTTCTCTACAACTATCTATTCGAAGTATCTTACTAAGTGTCTATAGATCACCTTCGAAGAGCTCCTCGAACTCAACGGTGGCCCAGAGGCACTACAAACCTTCCAACCCGACGACGATCCAAACGCGACCGGTACCGACGACGACATGAGACTTCGTAACCGCGCAGGCAAGGCTGATCACGAAGGCTTTGTGGATATCTCGAACTTCCCCATCTCTTCTTCCGACGATGACGATCAAGACGAGCTTGCCTCCGATTCACCAGGTCGTCGCAATGGCCGCTCACAAGGCTTGAGGCGCGCAGCCCGTCGAGGACGTCCAGCAAGAGGTCGCTCAGAGAACAGCGATCTCATTGCGCTCTCCACAAGTGAAGAAGACTCCGAAGACGCCGGCAAGAAGCGGAAGGGTCGGCGTCGCAAAGCCGTACAACAACCCACACGACGTTCAACAAGACAGCCGATTCGAACAAACGCCAACGACAACGAGGATGAAGACGAAGACTCGGAAGATGGAACCACAGACGAGTCCAGCGCCTCGGACATCCTCCGTTCAGATCTATTACCAGGTCGCAAACGTAAGGGACGTCCTCTGCGTGCTGGAAAGCCTGAGAAGATACCCCGAGCGGGAGTCCGACAATCTGATCGGGCAACACGTGCTACAAACAACATGCAGGAAGCGGGTATCAACGACGTCTATCGATCCGACTCGGCTCCGAAAGTGGTTGCACAGAAGGTCTCAGTCGTCCGAGAAGTGTTTCCGAATCTACCCCGAAGTGACCCTTTTCGTGCGCGACACGCTGGGGGTTGCGAAGTCTGCTTCGATGGCCCCAATGTTGCGCCTCTGGTCTACTGTCAAGGCTGCTCACTGGCTTACCACAAGAACTGCTTGGGCAACCGCTCCACTCGTGATCATCTAGTCACCAAGATTGGAGACGAGGAGTTCGTTCTACAATGCAAGAGGTGCATCAATTTCTACAAGAAGAAAGACGCAACTGCTCCCGATCTATCCAGATGTCAGGATTGCGCTATCTCGGGTCCTTCCTGTCGACCCTTTAGACGTCGCAAAACCACACAGCAGGAGATGAAGGAGCGCGAGGAAAACGACGGCCATGATCCAGTCGTCGACGTACCTTCTGAGCTTGTCAACGATCCCAACAACGTCATGTTCCGCTGCACTAAGTGCTCTCGTGCCTGGCATTACCATCATCTACCACCCATGTCGCAGTACGCTATGGACGTCAATCGCGACGACGAGGAGATGGCAGATGAGCGTTTCCGCGAGTACTCTGGCAAATGGCTCTGCAAGGAGTGTGACGAGACGTTCGATCAGAAGGTAGGCGGTATCATCGCTTGGCGCCCATCGGATGTTGAGACATACCGTCCGGGTACACCATGTGAACTCGTTTGCGAAGACGATAAGCAGTACTTGATCAAGTGGGAGAACGAGTCCTACTTCCGATCCGCATGGCACTCCGGAGCCTGGACTTGGGGTGTCACGGCTGGAGTCCAGCGCAAGGCCTTCTTTAAGCGCGAGGACGGACCGAAGATGCGGACCGAAGACGCCATCCCCGAAGAGTACCTCCGTATCGATATTGTCCTCGACATCAAGTACACAAGCTATGTCGAAGTCCGTAGTGAAGAGATTGACAAAGCTCGTATCAAGGAGGTCGACAAGGCGCTCATCAAATACAAGGGACTCGGCTATGAAGACACGGTGTGGGAGAGCGTACCGACCCCAGAAGACGGTGACAGGTGGCTCGACTTTGTCACTGCTTACAACGACTGGGTGGCCGGTCGCTACGTCAAAATTCCCAAGCAAGGACCCCTCAAAGGACGCATTGAAAAGGCTCGCAGCACATCATTCGCCAAACTTGAGCGAGAGAAACAACCTGATAACCTTGTTGGTGGTGAGCTGATGAAGTATCAGCTGGAGGGTCTCAATTGGCTATACTACAAGTGGTACGACCAGAAGAACGCCATCCTCGCGGACGAGATGGGTCTCGGAAAGACGATCCAAGTCATTGCCTTTATGGCGACCCTCATCCAAGAGCACAACTGCTTTCCCTTCCTGATTGTAGTCCCCAACTCGACATGTGCCAATTGGCGACGAGAGATCAAGCAATGGGCGCCGTCTCTTCGCGTGGTGGCTTACTTCGGGTCCGCCAAGGCTCGTGAGATGGCCTACCAGTACGAGATGTATCCCGAGAAGACAAAAGACTTGCGATGCCACATCGTCGTAACCTCCTACGACGCAGCCGCCGATGACAACTGCAGGAGGTTCTTCAGGGGTGTTAGCTGGGCAGGTCTCGTCGTTGACGAAGGCCAGCGCTTGAAGAACGACAAGTCTCAGCTGTATACAGCTCTTACAGCAGTCCGCGCGCCGTTCCGCCTTTTGTTGACTGGTACGCCGCTGCAAAATAACGCCCGTGAGCTTTTCAACTTGCTGCACTTTCTCGACGACACTATCGATGCTGCTGCGCTTGAGGAGCAGTACGCTGAGATGACAGCGGACAATATCCGGGAGCTTCATGACCAGATCCGACCCTTCATTCTGCGGCGTACGAAGGCCAAGGTCCTGACTTTTCTCCCGCCCTTGGGTCAGATCATTCTCCCCATCTCCATGAGTCATCTGCAGAAGCAAGTTTACAAGTCCATCTTGTCCAAGAGCCCAGAACTCCTCAAAGCGCTCTTCACTTCCGACAAGCAGCTGAAGCAGCAAGAACGTGCCAACTTGAGCAATATTCTTATGCAGCTACGAAAGTGTCTTTGCCATCCATTCGTCTATAGCAGAGAGATTGAAGAGCGAAGCGAAGTTGCTGCAGTCTCTCATCGCAATCTCGTCGAGGCTTCTGCCAAGCTCTCTCTTCTCGAGACCTTGCTTCCGAAGCTTCAGGAACGCGGTCATCGCGTGCTCATCTTCAGTCAGTTCCTCGACATGCTCAACATCATCGAAGACTTTTTGGACGGTATGCAACTGCCGTACCAGCGCTTAGACGGTACCATGGGCTCGCTCGAGAAGCAGAAGCGCATCGACCAGTTCAACGCACCCGACTCGCCGCTATTCGCCTTCCTTCTCTCCACACGCGCTGGTGGTGTAGGCATCAATCTTGCAACCGCTGACACCGTCATCATACTCGATCCTGATTGGAATCCTCATCAAGATCTTCAAGCCATTGCTCGAGCTCATCGTATCGGTCAGAAGAAGAAGGTGCTGTGTCTTCAGCTGGCTACTCGAGCGTCTGTAGAAGAGAAGATCATGCAAATGGGTAAGAAGAAGATGGCCCTTGACAAGGTCGTTGTTCAGGATCTGGACCGAGATGATCCCGAGGACGAGGATGTCGAGTCGATACTCAAGCATGGCGCGGCGGAGCTCTTCAAAGACGACGATGCCGACCACGACATCCGGTACGACGACGCCTCTATCGACAAGCTACTCGATCGTAGCCAGATTGAGAATACACGGACTGGTGACGATGACTCCGCGGAATCTCAGTTTGGCTTTGCCCGTATCTGGGTCAACGAGAAAGGCGCATTACAGGACGACTTCGACACGGTGGAAGAGGAAGTTGCTCCAGATCCAGGTGTCTGGGACAAGATCTTGAAGGAACGACAAGCCGCCGCTGCCGCTGAGGCACTTGCAAAGGCGGAGGCTATGGGTCGAGGACGGCGGGCCAAACAAGTACGCAATGTCTTGTCCTCCATTAGAATAAGTACTAACATCGTGCAGACTGTCGATTACGTGATAGATCCAAAAGACGCCGATGCAGCATCCGCCGCAGGAGACGATCGACGCGAGGAATCCGCATTACCGCCTTCACCAATCAAGAAGCCGAGCAGGAAGCGCAAAGCCAAGACAGGTTCCGAAAGCGACACTGACTTCCAAGCCGAGTCTGAAGACGAAAGCGAGCCTGAGCCTGTTCATGATGAGGTTGATGCAGCCAAGGAGCTCGGTCATGTTCGCCATCGCAGTACAACAAACAACGCCAACTCTTCGCTGTACAAGCAGAATGGCGCAGGTGCGTCCCAAATTTCTTCGTCAAAGTCCCCCACTGTACCTGTTCCTGTACAGACTACGCCTAAGAAGGGTGGTGCGAGAGCTGTCAGGTCGCCGTTGAAGCCGGTGAAAATTTCGCCACCGAAAGGCGGTACTCGAATGAGACTTGAGCTCTCGACGCGTCCCAGCAGTGGTGGTCCAACTCACTCAACCGCCTCTTCAGGCCAGGCGTCATCACCTCGCCCACCAGCCGCCTTCGTCGATCTCTCCACACCACCGCCAGAGTCATCGCCACAAGCCCCAAAGACTAACGAAGTGACAGTCAAACCCTTCGAGCGCGCCACCATCCCCATCCGCAACCCCCTCGAACCAACCTACGGCTCCTTCGGCAACCGCATTTGTCCCGCCTGTCACAAAAACCATCCTCAAGGCGCCTGCGAGCTCAAAGCCGCCGGCGTCGAGCACTGCAACCTCTGCGGCCTAGCCCACTTCGGCCACTCACGCACCTGTCCCCACATCAAATCCGAAACCCAAGTCCGCGAGATGCTCGAGGCGCTTAAGAACTCGCCCGAAAAGAAGGAGCTCGTTGATGCGGCCATGAAGTATCTCCGAGGTGTCAAGGGCACGCTCGTACAGCAGAAGAAGAGGGATAGAGAGAAGGCGGCGTTGGCTAAGGGCCAGCCTATCCCTCCACCTACTTACTCTGGTATGGGTCGTCCGCCTAAGAACGCGTATAACAGGCCGCCAGGCAGTATGAGCGGGAGTGTGAATGGTGGAGGTTCGGGCGCTGGTTCAGGGTCTGGTTCTGTGGGTCCGCCTATGTCCATGTCTGGAGGTTCTTCGAACGATCCGTCTCGATCATATGCTCAACATGTGCCTCAGGCACAGATGGAAGGGGTGTATGGTGGTGCGACTGGTGTTATGCAGCAAGCACAACGCTTGGCTCAGCAGCAGCAGATGGTTCAACAGCTGCAAGGTCAGGGATACGACGATCAGCAGGTTGAGAATGCGCTGAGGGGGTTCTTGTTCCAGGGCTAGAGGCTGGATGCGTCTTGGGGTATGGTGGAATAGCGTCTTTCGCTGAGTCGCTTGGGAGCGAGATCGGTACCATCGGTTAGGCGGTCTAGGGGCTAGGAAAAGGCGTTCTGATATTGCATGGTAGCTTGGCGTGGATAGTATAGGTCACGGGGCCGAACGTGCTTGGCCTTTGAGGAGTTGGAGTATGTTTACTAGACATATTGATACCCCGTAATGAACGTCAGAATGTCGTTCGTACGTCAAAGTTCTACGGTATTAGACAAATGCAGTTTGCCAACAGTTTGTGTTGATCCTGCAGGGATGTGTATGCAGCGAGTACTACAGTGACAAGTCTAGGCCTCCTTACGTTTGCTAACTTTCTCGCTGTTCCAAAGGAGTTCGATTCGCGCTCCAAACAACTAGCATCGCCTCATTAGTTAGACACCAAAGTGCCAGTCCTTGTCACAACCTCTCCTTCCTCAGCGCCAGCGACAGTATCACCAGCCTGTACAACAGCCTCCCCGTTATCCTCCTCATATCCCTCCTCTTCATCCTCCTCCCCAAGTGTCTCCCTCAAGCTCTCAACCCAAGCATCATACTCCCCCACATCCTGGATCCCCGCCCCATTACCCAACACCTTCCCCATCTGCTTCCCCTGCTCTTCTTTGGCAATCAACGCCTTCTCCAGCACGCCAATCTTGACCTCCTCTCCATCTCCTCCCAAAGAACTCCCATCCCAACCCCCCTTCTCATCACTAACCAGCCCATTCCGCCAACAAAACGCCAACCACTGCCGCCAATGCTGATTCTGCTCCAAAACCTCAACATTGCCAATCACAAACAGCGCTTCTTTCGCTCGCGTAAGAGCGACGTTCATTTTCCTCGCGTCTCCTACGATACCCAAGCCCGTCTTTTGGTCTTTATCCAGGAACCTCTTTCTTGCTCGCGTTGTACATAGCACAACGACCCGTTTCTCGAGTCCTTGAAAGGCTTCCAAGGGACCGATGTTGACGTCCCACAGTCCTGCGCCTCTGCCGTACTCGGAGGAACGGATCATTGAACGAAGCAGTTTGACTTGCGCGGCGAAGGGCGACATGATGCATATGTCTGATTGCTTGACTGAGGAATAGCGGTGGAGGGTTTGCACGATGTTGCAGGCGATGCGCGCTTCGGAGACGTTGTACCAGCCGCCGTTGTCGCGTTCGATTTCGTCGAGGCCGGTGTGCGGGATGAAGAGGACGGGCCACTTGCGGCCGCGCCAGAGATCGGACTGTTGGAGTGGGGTGTTTGGGAGTGGAGCCTCTGGGATCAACGTGTTGTTGTAGAAGAGAGCACTTGGTACGTTGAGGATGGCGGGATGAGAACGGTAGTTTCGGACTAGTAATGTGAATGGTGGGTATGTGATCGGTAACATTGACTGCTTCAGTACTGGTGGGCCGGATGAGGGTTTGATCTTGGAGCGCGAGAGAGGGTGGTTCTCGTATAGCGGTCGTTGAAAAAGCCGGGCGAACAAGGACCTGCGTACTAGAAGGTTACGGGATGCGGTTCGTGGTCCAAGCTGCTTCTCATCTCCTGCCATCACTACGCGTGGTTGGGGCAGCGAGGTCGGATACGTGAATGGTGGGCATACAACGCTAATGGCTGGCGAAACGTCCAGTTCAGTAGCTTGAGCTGCCTCGTCTATGAGTAGGGCGCTCCAATGTAGCTTCGGATTGGGAATTCGGTCGTCTGGGTTGAAAGCTGATGACATATTCCTTTGTATAGTCCAGAGGTCATTGTTGGTCAATCTTGCGTCTGCCAGTATCGCCGCGTCTTGACAAGAGGTTACTACGACGTTGAAAGCCATGAACTCCTGGAAAGGTGGTAGATTGAACATGTCGTTCTCGATATGGCAGTACTGCAATAGCTCCCGTGGTACCTCGTTATCAGCCCTTCCTGGTCGGTTAAGTCGAAATAGCTCTTTTCGTGAGAGATATTCCTTCAGCCTGAGGGCGATTGTATCCGCCGCAGCCTCCGATGGAGCGCATATTAGCATGTGTGCGACATCTGTAGTGTTCAAAAGTTGCATTGCCGTCTCCACCAGAGTCTTTGTCTTTCCTGTACCTGTTAAGGTTGAGATCACAAGTCAGTGTATGTCCTAGATGCAATTCGTACAGTTGTTCCCTTACCTGGCGGTCCACTGATCAAGTAAGGCACAGTCCCATATACGTTAGTACATATATCGTTCACAGCATGCGCTTGTTCGTAGTTGACAGCGCGATCGAAAAGCTTGCGATGGGGAACCTTGCGCAGTGTAGTTTGAACTTCGCCATGAGCTTCATCAGGGAACAGGATTCGGAGACTCCAATCGTTATGAGAATCGTGGGATGCGGCTCTCGTGGCGTCGGCGTGAAGTGTGGCATACTTGCCACCGGGCGATTCGCCAAAATGATATGGCCTACCGTTCGAGGATGGGTAGCCATATGTCCGTGGGGAGAAGCCGACGAGTCTTAGCTCCGAGCTGAGGTGTGCTAAAGCTTTTCGCCGGCTTTGGAGGATGTTGAACTTCAGTGGAATGACGACGTTAGCGAACATTCGCATGGGCGGTGCCGGTGGACAGAGGCCATCTGCTTTGAGATAGACTGTTTCTTGCGCACGGTTGACACCGAAGACTGCGGCATTGTGCTGTACGACTGTCCAGGGCCTAAATGCTATTGAAGGAGATCCTATGTATCCGAATTGGTAATCATCCACATAATTTGGCATCAAAGTCAAGGCTCCTGTTTCGTTAACATACAGTTGACGTATCTGAAGCACGTCGCCCATTTCAATGTGTGGGTTGTCTTCTCTCAGTCCTGGCACCAAGAGGCCCCAGAGGCCCTCCAATGGATGGAATTGCCAGAGTGGGACTTGATACATCGCGTATGATTCATTTTCTTTCTCCTTCGCTATACGCTCTATGGCAGCCGATGTGTCGAAGTGTTGCAGATAGGTAGACTCATTGAGCGACGTAGGGAAATCCGCTGCTGATCTGATCGTATGATCTTCAGGCTCCGCGTAGGGTGGAGTCACAAAGCTTGTTCCGGCGAATGTATGTACATATTGCTCGAAGTCGATCAAATGTCTAGGTCTTGTGTTGATGATGGTAGCCACTTCGGTGTTGATTGCTTGGAGACCTGGTGGAACGAAAGGCGCGGCGTATACATCATAATCCCATGCAATGTCAGCTGGGTCACTCTCGGAGGTAGCATTGTTCCGGGAAGTTTCTGGTATACCTTGGTCCGTCGATGAGACTTGCTGCTCTTTTGGCCTGAAAGCGATATTAGGAACGGCTACAAGCTTTGATATGTCCTTTTCCATGGTTTTACCGTGTTTATGTTGATCTCCGTCCACACCGGAAGTATTATGCGGCCGGGTAGTTGCTTGGGGCATCGCGCTAGGAATTCTCGTAATGCTTTATGAAGTGCAAGCGGCAGTGTCGAACAGGCGCGCCTGCCAGACCTTTTGAGCCACGCCGTTCCCCAGACTGTACGTATTGGAAAATTTGGATCGTGTCCTGGGTCAAACTTGGTATCACGGAAGGTTTCCGCCGGAGAGGCGAGAAGGTAACGCCTATTGCGAACGAGCACTTCGTCGCGATATAGGAATCACGAGCGGTAGGTTGACCCAGGGGCTGGCCTCCAGTGCTGAAATGCCCTAATCTTTCAGCTGAGATGAAGAGAAAGAATATTAACTGATGTATGGAAGCGGACAGGTCATCCCGAACATCAGACTCCGTGGATCACCGTTTTGGAAATATGATGAGCTGCGGACGTTCGTTTGGCTGGATCGTGCGTATTAGGAGGCTGAGGAGCAGGAAGCAAGCTGCATCAAACAGCACCGATAGATATATTGCGATGTATACTTCCAAGAAATGGATCCGAATCGCGTCAATATCGGGCGTCGTTGTGGCAAGAGTGTAGGTGTAATGTCGCGTAGCAGTCGTGGCAATCGACCCTGCTTAGCGCCGCGCTAAAGCTCTGACCCAAACGCGTCACCGTTGGACGCGCTCCAGTTTATCCTCCAGCCACCCACCACGACTGGGAGACAAGGTCTGCCATTTGGTCTACGGTATCGCATGTCGCTATCACATCAGCAGCATGGGAGCGTGTATCTTCTTTTATCAGATTGCTGATTGACCGTAGACTGTTGTCTCGACGCGACTAGACGCGCTATCACAATTCCGACAGCTCTATAATGGTGAAATATGCGTCTATCACGCGAATGACATGACAGAAACATGTGCAGTTCGACTGGATAATCGCATGTGTCATACATGTATCCACCCGTATGTTGTGCGGCACTGCTGCTATCGAGATCGATCTTTGCTGCACTTCCCCGCAATACGTCATGATCCGAGGTTGTACAGGTGGACATCGATTTATCGAACATGCCCCATCAGGAGAACAACATCTTATGTTCTGTTGTGCGACCGAGCATCATCCTTTCTATTTTCCATCACATTTCCTCTACACTGCTTCATCCAAAATGTCCAATCAGCAGCTGGTCGAAAGCAAAGGCATCTTTCACGGCCTACCTGTATACCCCTCGTCGTTGAAAGGGCTTACAGCCATTATAACCGGGGCAAATGGTATCTCTGGTAACTATATGCTGCGCGTGCTAGCGCAGGATCCCGAGCGATGGACGAAGATTTACTGTTTGTCAAGGCGACCACCCGCGATTCCCGATGGACTACCGAAGAATGCCGAGCACATACCTCTCGACTTCCTGCAGGACTCAGAAGATATAGCGAAAGTGCTGAAGGAGAAGGGTGTCAAGGCCGACTGCGTGTTTTTCTACTCGTACGTGCAAGTCAAGCCGAAAGAGGGTGGTGGCTTGTGGAGCGACGCCGAGGAGATGTGCAAGGTGAACAGTACGTGTTGGCTGATCTATCATATACCAATGCCCTGAAACTGACCTACCGCAGCCGCTCTTCTCAAGAACTTCTGTGAAGCTCTCCCCAAAGCCAACATCAAGCCCAAGCGCATCATGCTCCAGACCGGCGCAAAGAACTACGGTATCCATCTCGGCCCTGCCGCTACTCCCCAGGAAGAAACAGCACCACGCGTCACTCTGGAACCCAACTTCTACTACCCCCAAGAAGACTTCCTCTGGGACTTTTGCAAAAAGCAGGGTATCGACTGGAACGTATGCATGCCAGCGGGTATCCTCGGCGCTGTGCCAGACGCCGCAATGAACCTTGTTTTTCCGCTGGGCGTCTACGCAAGTGTACAGAAACATTTAGGCGAGAAGCTTGAGTTCCCGACTGATTTGCAAGCTTGGGAGGCGAACAGATGCATGTCGAGCAGCAAGATGAATGCGTACATGGAGCAATGGGCTGTGCTTAACGATGGGGCGAAGAACGAAAAGTTCAATACTATGGACGGTACGACCTTTACGTGGGGTAATTTCTGGCCGAAGTACGCGGGTTGGTATGGCATCGGCTATGAGACTCCCAGCCTGGATGACAGTGCCTACACGGTTATTACCACAAAGCACGATCCGCCTCCGCGAGGCTTCGGGCCGCCAGCAAAGCTTCGCGTAAGGTTCACGCTGACCGATTGGGCAAAGCAAGAAAAGGTGCAGAAGGCATGGGAAGAGATCATTTCTATACATGGTCTTAAGGTAGACAGGCTTCAAGATATGGATATTGATCGCATCTTCGGCTTTACGGACGGCGGCTTGCTGGGATCTTCATTGGATCTCACAATGAACAAGGCGCGGAATATGGGTTGGCATGGGTTTGTGGACTCAAATGACGCTATCAGGGAGGTGCTTGCAGAGTTTGCAGATCTCAGAATGATTCCACCTTTTGGGGCGTAGTCCGTGAGATAGACTGGGTCATGTTCTTTGTATTATCAGACCTCCTACACGCATTCACCCTCAACAACGCGCCAGAGATAACGTCTGCACCGTGCAAAGACAGATCGAGCTTGAGCTCAGACCAGCTCATACCAAGGCTACGCCGTAAGGCACTGCGACGTATACCCAATATATGCCCATAGCTTGCCATCCCTTTCAGCCAGCCTACCACATAAAATCCTCCCCATCACCAACCTCCAGTCCACTCATCCCCACTCCATTCCCATTCCCACCCATCTCCTCCCCGGCGGGCACCAAACTTCCAACTCTTAAACCCCTCTCACCGTAATGCATCTCCCTCTTAAACCGACACTTCTTAACTCCCCACCCATCCCCCTCACTACACCCGTCCCTCTGACAATGATGCCCATGGAAGCAATCGCCCCTCCTACACGCCCCCTTCCTCGGACAGGGATTACACTTGACCACATACTCCAGCACCTGTCTTACTTCAGGCTCCAGTTCGCTGTGATCGAAAGGACAGTTTGGGGTGGTGCAGCGCTGTTGTAGGTGGAAGGTGTTGCAGGGTTTTGCTTTGGCGAAGCGGGCGTTGTAGATCTTCCAAGCGGAGGGAGGCGGCATGGGGAGGTATGGGTCGAGACGTTGATGGGATGTGTTTAGGGGGACGAAGCCTGGGATTGAGGCGGCGGGGAGGAGGGCGGAGAGCGGAGTTTGGGAGGAGGATTGCTGTTGCGAGGAGAGGGGCAGAGACGGATATGGAGCTCCTGAGGGCCCTCTCGGGGGCTGGGAAGAACCGGAGCCGTTTGCGTCGGAGTGGATCTTGGGGATGTGGAGGAAGTTGCATTTGTTGCCGAAGCGGCAATTGCCTTTTTGGAAATACTTGCATAGCTGCGAGTTGTTTTCTGGTTTCGAGGGGTTCTTGGCTGTTTGGGTATATGCGGAGCGGTCTTCCCAGCCTACTCGTTCTTGTTCGAAGAAACTGTTGGATTCTACCGGGGATAGATCGCCGAATGCAGAGTCGCTCATGCTGAATGAGTCGTCTCGTCTCCACGATTCTTTGCGCGGAGTTGGCGTTCCAGAAGTGAATATTGGTTTCTGTACAGCGGCTAGTGCCTTTTGTTTGGGTAGTGTAGCTGGACCGCCTTTGGTTGTAGGTACGGCAACGGGCAGTTCAGACCATCTAAAGACAGTCGGGAATTGCGTGACATTCAAGTTGAATTGGTGGAACTCTGAGTTCCATCCAGCGCCTTGGACAAGGGTAATCTTGTCACGTACACCGCTGAACGGGACGAGTTGAGATAGATAAGCCGGATCATGGCAGGCAGCGTACAAGATATGGCTGCATGCAGTATCTTCGGAGGCGATCTTGAAATGTTCCCTGATCTTGAATTTGGTGCCTTCTTCATCTAGAGCATCAACGAAGTCGAAGAGGCTGATGGCTCGGGTGAATGCAGCGGAGAAAGGAGACAAGGATCGCTTTTCCAACCCGACGAGTTTGGATCTTGCAAGTTGCTTAGACAGATTCGTCAAGTCTGCGTAAATCTTGACGTGTATGCGAGCTGTTCGGGCTTGGGAAACGCTTTGTTGGAGGTGTTTCTCTATGGCGTCGTTGAGCATGCGGGCAGCGCGCATTCCGCCCTCTTCTTTGTCGCGAATAAATTCATCATTAAACTGGGATCTGTTAGCGCGAAGTATGTAGTGTCATGACGATACTGACGATGTAGTTGTTGCCGTCTATTAACATCAAAACGTATGGGTTGCGAGCCGTCGTTGCCGTAGCTATGGTCTGTATAGGTATACCTGGAGGCGCAGCGATAGTGCTGTTGCCTTTCTGTTCATAGGCTCTCTTTAGGTCCTTATATTCATCGAGTAGTTGCCCATACTCTTTAAGGAGGTTCTAAGCGGGTTTAGCGGAATGCGGATTACCCAGATAGTGAGGACATCTCGGTATTGACCTACTGTTAGATCACTTTGCCTGGCTTGATCATTGAGTTTGAACTGCTCCAGATGCGTATCTAGCGAGTCGATCTTTCCGTCGGCTAGCATCTTGATAGTAGCGCGTCGTTGGTGTTGACAGTCAACGCGTTGGTGCCTTGACGGGTAAAGTCAGCCAATTGTGTCGGGCAGGAGATAGGTATTGAAAATTACCCACGGCGATTGCGAGTCAAATCCGGAGGCATTTAGGATATTCCCATATCTGCAAACAATTAACAAGTTGTTTCCGAGGAAAACGCGTTGACAGCAAGCCATTCCGCGACGTGGGGCGGGGCTCCTGCTCCGCCTGAGCTAGCGCGAGGCCTCAGCGTCAGGGGTCAGCTCCGCCTCCTTCACTACACGTTGAAGTGACTACCTACACATCACGACTGCGGTGACCTATTTCTTCCGCTCTGACGACTCTCACGCATCTAGGCATCTGAAGTGCCTGTAAATGCTCGAACACAGTGACGTCATCAGCAGGTCACAGCCTGGAAGTCTTGTCGGTATTTGAAGCTTGCCGG